GAACTACCTGAACTATATGTAGTATAGACTATAATTCCAAGGTAAATCCACAAGGAATTACGGCAAATAGGATGTTGGTAAAAATTGTGTCTTCTGGTGTACACAAACTGGAGGTGAAAAAGTGGAACGAAATCTGGGATCGCCAGTGAAATCTCTCACAAACACCTGTTTATCCATGGATAATTGGTCATGTTAAACGGTGCAGCGAAATAAGTGCATGGTCGACTGGGGCTTGGAACTCCGTCAGCATGAGAGCTTATATGATAGACTGCGTTAAGACATTCCACGTGCAAACGCATAAGGAAATGAAATTCAGACGGCATTCCAAATGATTTTGCTGCTCTACCAGCTTGAGATGGTGACCTCTCAAACTGCTGTCGTGTCTGAGCTCTAACAACTAGCGGCACGCGTTTGGGATTTCTCGAAATCTGGTACTGCAAAATGAGGTCACCGAGCAATCGCCGATACTTTCCGCTGAAGATTCCGAGCTGTTGTAGTCTTCGTTCACGCAGCCAGTTATACAGACACTTGAGATTTCTGGTTGCTGGGCCTTGGGGTATGTCCTAGGCAGTGAGATCTCTCCTGATCCATGGCTGCAAGACTTGTATTGCGTATGTCACATGTGGCCGCAGGTATGAGCCAAGATGTTGTGAAAAAATCGAAGGATCGTATCGTCTGAATGTGCGCCTCAGAAGACCCACATGTTGGATGCACCGCCTTGACACCGTTTCAGCCTGATCCGAAGATCCGAGGTCAACCTGGGCAAAACTTCCAGAGCAGCAATAAATCGGAATACCTGTAGCTCGAGTGATCTGTTCAGATTTTGTTCTGTTCTTCAAGCTGAACAGTTTCGTTGCAAACTTTTCAGCACTAATCGTAGTGACTTCTTCAGTGCGTAATAAGCAAACTGAGTTGTTTTGTCGACTCTTACCTATGAGTGAGTGGCATTTCAACTTGCTCACTTCGATGCAGGTCCCGTGACCATTACAAGTTCGGAGTTCGAGCGTCGCCTCTTTTCGACTCATGTACCCAATGATCCACGTAAACACTTTTGACACATGAGTCGAAAAGAGGCGGCGCACGAACTCCGAACTAGCAATGGTCACGGGACCAGAATCGATGTGAGCAAGTTGAAATGTCACTCGCTCATCGGTAAGAGTCGACAAAACAACTCAGTTTGCTTATTACGTACTGAAGAAGTCACCATGATTGGTGCTGAAACGTTTGCAACGAAACTGTTCAGCTCGGAGAACAGAACAAAATCTGAACTCCCAGATCCTTCTCGCCAGAAGAAGTTTACAGCTCCTGGTTGCCGAGTTTGTAGCAGTACACCAACTCTTGCCTTAAGTGCAGCACTCTACATGTGTCCAAATTGAATCGAGGTAGATTCTGGATTGACCACGCGTATACCCTATCCAGATCAGCCTGATGTAGTGTGATGTCATCAGGCGCATTGTTTGCCCTCCACACCATGATGTCGCCGGGATAAAGCAGGCAGTTCGAGATCATGAGGCGTGTGATATTGTTAGTATACGACAAAAATAATCTCAGTCATATTACCGATCCCTGCGGTACTCCGCATTCTACTCGGATAGGATCTGCCATGGATTCACACACTCGACCTCCAGGTGCCGGTGTAGAAGAAAGCTTGTGGTTCATCCTAGGAGAGGGTCACCAATAACAAAGATCTGGAGTTTGAAGAGCAGTATGTTATGGTCTAACCGGTAGAATGCCTTAAAGAAGTTGAGAAAGACTACATCAACTCCTTTGCTAGAGTCTACTGCTAGTAGTAGATTTGTAGCGCATGATCGATTTCGCCGGAAGCCGTGCTGTTCCGGTGTGACGCAGTTGCCATCTAAGTTAGCCGTTAGCGCATTAGAAGTTAGATTCCATAACCTTTGAAAGAACCGGTAGTAAGATTATGGGACAGAAGTTCCCAAAGATTCCATAGTAAATTTTCTGGATATAGCGATCTGTCAGGTCGATGGTTTGGAGCGTACATACCAGATTGAAATGGATAAATACGGGGCGGACACAAATGCCTCTGATATATCACAATATATTCAAGCTCAATTTCCAGAAGCACGGTGGATCGTTCACCAGCCGAGTATTAGTACTACTAGAGGTTCAACACACCCGGTGTCCGCGAAAAACTTTTCTTCATTAGGACTGACGAAATTTTATATATCCGATATTTGAGTTTCGACAGTCCGACACTCCCTGCGTTTACGATGCGTATATACGAGAGGCACGCTCACACTTTACTTAAACACAATCAGTATCTAATTACTGTGACAAAGCCAACGGTTCCACCCTAAGTGCCTCTAATTTTATTTTGACGATTGTCCCTTATTCCACCGGGACCTTCGTCCAATCTTGGTGTATTGCTGTACTGCTCGGTTCTTGAGACATGCATGCCGTCGCCAAACATAAATGTTCACGGATGGATTTGGAACGACTACCTCCCTTGTGAATAGGAGTAATCATCTCATCCACATGTTGGGCACCTATATTTCGTCAAAAGAGTGTTGGAAGAATCGAGCCAAATGCTCAGCTGAAATCTCTGCTATCGCAGCCAGCGATTTCGTGAGTAAATTTTTAACTCCAGGAGAGCTGTGCTTGCGCATACTCAACAGATTGTTAGTACAGTTTCTGCTGTGAACGATATTTGCTTGCGTTTTGGAAGTTAAATAACCATCGTCATAGGGTTAGGTAGTCAGTGATTGCATTGAAAGGTTGCAGCATATTGTAGGCGCAGGGTATTCGCCGCCTCCTTTGGTGTCCGTGTGGGTCCGTCCTCTGTGTGAAGAGGAGGAATTCCTCATTTCACCTGACGTAGACTGTTGACGTGTTGATACAAAAGCTGGTGATTTCAGATCAAACGCACTGCCAAATTGCGCTGCTACGCCTTCCTATCCTAGCGAAGAGGCTGAGTACAGTGGTTACGTTGGGTCATATAGGTCATCCAGTTCTCGATGCTCTTGAAGAGTTTCGCACTGCTATACACTTGCGTGTCCTGCTTCATATAAACGAGACCACTTTTCTCGGGCGGTGGGGCCTAGACGCCGGTGCTGCGGTAACCAGAGAGTTAGTCTGGGTGACGAAATGTTCTCATGCACTAGCTGGTGCCTCATCTGCCAGAAAGGTCCAGTTCACTGTCTCACCTATTCGAGCTACTATGTCGTGGCGTATAACCGTTTTGTTGCATCGGCGATTTTCATGAGATATTCTGTATAGCAACTGTATTCGAAGAGTAGGATTACAAAATCCCTGCTGCCCAGTAGGACGTCAAGGATCAACCTCTCGACCATTAGTTCTTCATTGTTGAATATCCGATCCAGTATTGACGGCTTATCTTTTTCTCGGAATTGGGTGGCAGTGTTCCTGTGGCCAGACAGCGGGTAAATGGAGACAAACACTTGTAGATCCACTTTAAACTGTTCTCGGGGAGATGCTTGGGACTCCAGAGCGTGAATGTTGAAATCGGCAGTAATGAGAATGTGGCTGTAACTTGTGTTTATCACCCAACTTATTGCAAATGCCAGATGGAAGTCCATCTCAGGCGTGGAGGAAGGAGGGCGGTTAATGACCGCCCCTAAGCAAGTGTCGTCGCCTTTCAAGCGTAGACGGCACCACAGGGAATCTTGTACGATGCTGACCGGATCCTCTATGAACTCACCTTAGAGGTCGATGCGGAAATACAGATCTACCCCTCCACCTTTGCTGGTTCGGTCGTGCCGAACAATGGACATGCTTGGCAGTGCGATCTCCATGTCACTTATGTCACGGCGTAACCACGTCACCGTTATAGCGATGACCTCACAGGCTTTTGATCCTTGATGCAGCCGCATTTCGGAAAGTTCACTCAGTAAGCCTTGAGCGTTGGTGTACTTACAAAAAAGTTTCTCGGTTGTCAAAAACTGTTGACTAGGAGCACATGAATGGTGTGGATTTGTGCCGACTGATGAGAGGCCGGCACGTAATTTTTTTGGGTGAATTACCAAATCTCGACAGGAATGTAATCTCTTTTTGATCTCACATGCACCTGCGGTATGTAGTCCATCGGCAGCCTTCTGGATAGCTACAGGTCTTAGCGCACAGGTTTCTGAATAGCTGCTGTGGTTAGCTTGAGTTGCGGGTGGTGTCGTTTCCGCAAGAACAGCGAGTGGCTACGGTTCTGTAACTGCTGTCTTCAGTCGCAGCTCCGAAGGAAGTGTGTTGCTTAGTAACTGCCAGCTACGGTTTAAGATCGCGACCACCTGTTGTGACTGCACCCTTAGTTGCAATATGCTCGGACAACAGCCTTTGTAATTTGGCGAAAAACCGATAACTGTGTAATCGACTGAAGTATGACGTCGCCTGTACAGAGCTTCACGGATGTAACGCTATGCTTCCAAGTCATGAGCAGGGACTGGTGTGTTGCTGATTGTCGTTAGATCTTGTACGCCATGAACGAAAATAATTCTTTTGCTACTCTTCGTGTGGTGGTCATTTGAATAATTTTTGTCCCGCTTGCGTTGGCTGCATGGAACATCCGGAAATATGCGTATTCCACTGTTTTCAGTGTGACTCTACATTACACCACTACTTAATCCACCAAATTATCTCCCTATTACAGCCACTTTTCCTACCCACCATTCTCTCTTTATTCATAAATATCTTCCTTCCCAACCTTGCTTTTAATCCCACTCATATACAACACTTTCCATAATAAACCACCTCTAGAAAATACCTTCTTTATCCAATCCCACCTTCACGATTTTTTAAATATCATATTCCTACTTATATATCCTCATTTTCTATAATATTAACCCTCCTCCACCTCCTTTAATCTATCTTATTTATAATCCCCCACTTAAATCCCTAAAATTCATACTTTGTTCTTCCATCTTTGTCCCCTTTACTACTATATTCCATCTTATTTCTCTTATTCACTCACCCCAATCTCTCCCCCTCATTTAAAACTATTTTCATACTGCCATGCCTCCTCATTACCCTATTTATATACCCCCATTATTCCCCAATACCCCCCCCCCCCCCTTTTTTAACCCCCCCCCCAAAATTAACACACAATTTTTGTGTTGGCCCCCCCCGCCCCCCCCCCCCCCCCCCCCCCCCCCCCCCCCCCCCCCCCCCCGTACCCGATTAGGTAAACAGATATGAGCGGTGGGTCTAGGAATGCTTCTATCGGTCACGACGACGGCTCAGTTCGCTGTTCCCAAGATTTCTAGTACCGCGTGGCCGTGTGAAGATCTGGCCCATTTCCTTGGTTTCGAGATAGCAAGTGAGGAAGTCGGATGTGGTGCAAGTTGCGCTATTTTCGCCTCAGTGGAAGCAATTTGTGCGTTCAAACGATGTTCAGTTTCTGCGACTAGGTTGTCGTATTTTGTGTTAACGCTAGTACGCATTTTACTTGTGGAGTCGTCGTACACTTCGAACAGAACCAAAGTGATCCCGTCGTATTGTTTTACCCTACGTCTGTTCTACGGATATTGACACACTTCGAATGGTAGCCGTCAATGCAGGTTGCACAAGTCAGCATTAGTTTCACGACTTTTGATTAGCACGAGATATTTCGTTTCGGATTAACGGTGTTGTGCTCATGATGCCCGGTTACCATGGAACAATCCAAGATGGCGGACATGGACGGCAGTTGAGCCAAGCAATCAGAATTGCGAAATTAGCCACAGCACATCAAACAAATTTGAGCAGATTGACAAATAAATCAAAAGAAAAATATCGGTGCACAATTCACACCGAAAAATCAAGTATAACACAGTAATCCCTTAGCTAAAGTGGAGTCCAGCAAGGTAGTATAAAATCCGCGGCGTTCGTGGGTGCATCCAATTATGTGTGTTACTATTTATCGTCCCTTTAGTCGTTTGTTGTGGGAGATAAGACAACTCGATCAATTCATCAATGCCGAGAATTCTACCTGTGTCCAAGTATTTTGAGTTGGATGGCACCCAGTGTTGCCGCTGTCCGGGACTCATAATTGATGATTTATCTGCATCTCGTTCTGGGTGTCAGTAGGCGACAGCAGTACAAGTGGGCGTACGGAGAGCACTTGATCGCGCTACATTGACTTCATTACAAAACCCAACTAAATCACGATGGCACAGGGAACGAAGTGTAGTATGATCCACCTGTCGAGTTGCAACGTGACAAGACTCTGTTAGATGTTAGCACTAGCTGTAATTCGGGCGAACCCCAATTAGATACCGAGCAATCAGCTAATGGTGTCGCTGGTGTCAAAATGTGAGTAGTCTGGCAAAATGCGGGTTAGCGCTTACAATGGCTTTTAAACGGCTTCCACTTAGTTCTTCACTATGGTAACGAACAGTCACACAGACTGTGAGTGCAGCCATGTCCCTCGTGCTCGAGTCCTTGGATGAGGCCAGAGTACAGCTTCCAGCCCTTATGGCAGACAGTGGGTGGCATGCCAGTCTGGGGGATTGTGCGCTGCCGTAAGGTCGGCATAGCAGCTACATGACCGGTCCTGGCCACGAACACAGCCACCTTCTGCTTGAACGTACTGTGCTCACGCCGGGATTTCTGAAGCGGGGGCCCACCAACGGCCGTCCACTTAGCCGATTTTTGCTTGGTTTCTGCGTCGAAACTGTGCACTAAGGTCTCATCACCATTGCACATCTTCCAAACAGCTTTGGAAAGTCCACAAGCAAACATTGCAGGCGTGGTGCGGCACCAATTCACCCGCGCTGCTTCCTGGTCTTCACTGAGCTGATGCGCTACCAAACGTGTGCAAAGCTTTCTGAGGTCAACGTTCCCATGTTGGGTAGTGTGGATTGATCCCGATGCAATCCAGATGGCGTCCCCCAGCTGTACCACAGTCATACTCGCGTCCACCTCTAGCATCGCTTACATAGGAGCGATGTTGGCCGCGGGGGAGGGTCTCCAACTGTCGACCACACCGCATCTCATCATTCAGGGACCAGCTGCTACGCATGGATTCCGTATACCAGTCAAATACAGTGGTTCTTGGTGGCGCATAAACACTAAACGCAGCACGCAACCGCTCAACATGCTGGTGCTGCTTTAAACCGTATTTGTAGTCAGAGCAAATCATCGTCCTTCAGTGATATCGACTGAATTCCACACTTATAGTCAGAGCATAGCCACTATTATAACTTGTGAGCTGTGCGGGGGTGGTGATATAGGGTTCCGTGAGTTGAAATCACTGAAAACTGGTCAGAATTTATTACTGTGCACATTTTTCTTACCGTGTCATCTGCATCTAATATTTGTGTATAGCGCACCCGGAAATTTATTGCTCTACTCTCGTACATCAGTGATAAGTGCTTTCATATGTGACAATGTTAGACAATCCACTTATTAGTGTGCCTCAGTGAGTGTCGCACGCCTAGGATACCATTTGTCAGTTCTTTTATGACAAGCCCCACAGACGTAGCAAAGTACCATCTTGGCTCATAATACTCTACTTTTGAATAATCATGGTTACAGTAGAAAGCAGTCGTCAAGCCACCATAACCGTTGCCAAGTTCTCGTTTGGATGTTGCTACTGCTTGCTGAAGTCCATTTAAAATGTTGGTGCTTCAGGTATGTCATCAATACACTATATTTTAGGCTTTCGATGGTTTTTCGCTTCGTACTGATGTTACGTTAAAAATCCAGGAAGAATGAAAGGCCAGCTTGGCCCAAAGTATCTACAAGTGGGTACACAAATGAATTTCCCTCGTCCACAACCGATACAGGCAAATAGAATGTCTTAACCGAGGTGGAATGTCCGTCATGCATATCTTCCTGGTGCTATCCGGAATACCGTGGATTAGCGCGTTTCCAACTGCAACAACAACAACAACAACAACAACAACAACAACAACAACAACAACAACAACAACAACAACAACAACAACAACAACAACAACAACAACAACAACAACAACAACAACAACAACAACAAGTACTACTACTAGTACTATTACTGTTACTACTATTAGTACTACTACTACTACTACTACTACTACTACTACTACTACTACTACTACTACGAGTACTACTACTACTACTACCACTACAACAACTACTACTACTACAACTATTACTACTACCACTACTACTACTACTATTACTACTACTACTACTACTCGTAACCACGCTGACTAATAAAGTGATTCACCACTTATTTTCTACCGAAAGGAATGACTAATTAAATTGTAAGAACAAGCGACATCTACTGCCGAACTGAAAGTTACCAATGGGTTGATTTACAGTCCTGTTGTCCGAACAATTATCGAGGTTTGGCTTAGCATAAACAGAGATTTTGGATAACGAATATCTTCCAAAGTCGCATGTGACAGCCGAGAGTATTTCATGATCCACTTCTTGGGATTGAGATATTAAATGAGCTGGATTTGAAGAAAATATGATACCATTTGACCGAAATGCATAGTGAGGATAATATTGTTTACTTTGCCCGCAGCTGGTCAAAATTTTACCTCCTATCACAGGCTAACTTCGTTAGACGCATCGATTAGATGTAGACTGTGATTGCATAAGCCGTCTGCGCAGCATGTATTACCAATATAATCAATCAGTGATAAGTCGACGGACTTGGGTATGATTTGATTTGACTTATCGTAACCTGATTATAATCCGCAACGGCGAGCTGTCAATCCTTTCGCCTTCTTGGGGTTCGTCGGTGGCACACATTCCCTCTGTCTCATGTGGGTGAGCGAACCCATGGCCGCTAGTTTCTTGCACCACTAGCCAGCAGGTTAGGTCACTGAGTAATGGGGGACGATAGCCAACTGTCACGGAATGAAACGGCTCGGGCCATGGCACAGTTAGATTTCCAATCGTGATGGTCTGCTATCGTCCCACATGGCTCAGTGGCATAAGCTGCTTGCTAGTGGAGCAAAACCATCAGCACCCATGGGTTTGATCCCCAGCAGAGCACCATAACATTTTCTCATCAACAAAAAACCAAGATATTTGAATCAATAAAGTATGCAAGAATATTGCTGAACACCAGTAACAACTGTGGCCTTAGAAGTGGGCGCTGAGACACAACACACTTGACTTGTATGGGCTTAGATGCAGAGCTCCTAATTCTGACAAGTAATTAGCGTTGAAAGAAGAAATTGTCTACATTTTAACAACACGTCACCGGCTTTGTCACAATGCAAATTTGAAAAGAGAATCTGATATCCTAGACGACAGAATGCTTTCGGAAAATCCAGGCAGACTACACCCGCGTCCTCTACAGTGTCCGTTGACTCGGTTCAACTTCTCCCTGTGATTGGTAAATACGTGGTGCACATTCTCTGTCGATAGAGTTCGTGCTCCTCATACGCAATACTGTACCAGTTTTTCACCAATGCATCTAAACTGATCTTTTCCATGACCTTGGACAGTAAAGGAAGAAGAGATACTATGAGGTGGTTTGAAGATTCAGGGGTTTTGCTCTCTTTGTAGATTGGGGTGATTATTCCAAGAAGTTACATGTCAGGAACTTAATTCTACTCTGAACACTGTTGAAAGAACGGCAACAAAGATTCCACTCGTTGTTTTGCTGTTGCTCCCAGTTCTTTTGGGCAAGTGGCACTGAATTCAGAGAATCAGTGGTTACAAAAAGACGTCAGATAACTACACGGATTCAGCCGTAGAAGTGGCGTAGCTGAGTCCTGATATCGAGACAACAGAAGCCGATAACCACCTGAAGGCAGTCTCATTGAAATTTTGTGGCAGATTATATGCACAATGGGTTTACTACATCTGTGACTCTTCTTGCCGGGTCAGTAGCTGTTTTGAGCCGGTAGAATCCCTGAATCATCTTTCAACAACCATAGGTGTGTTCACTAGCGGTTTATGACTGGCGCTGAAATGTTTGCTGTGTGTTACTGATGTACAGCTTATTCTTCTGTGAGCAGTTGAGCGCAGTGGTTACTTGGGTTGGTGTATGTGACCCAAATATATTGCGTTTGAGATAATATACCCAAACGCTCCTCATGCCTAGTTGCGTACTACTATCTGTCTTCACGTTCTGGTCCGTACGAAAGAAGCTGGTTTAGGCACCTTTCAAACCGTAATCTCTGAAGTAACTTCAAGCAGCCTATCGATTCCACTGACGAATTTCAACCAGGTGCATTTCGTGCGACTTCGGGCAAGCAATTACCAATTTTTGGCACTGACAATCTAGGCTA